CTCAGAACATCCCGGCGGCGCCAACTGGGATTGAACCCAGGCCTGCTGGGGTGAGAGGTAATCACGCTTACCACAACACCACCGGCGCCGTCATGAAAATCAATCTAAATCGTCGTGATTTTTTTTTTTTCAAATGTCGTTTTATTTTATTTACGATGTGTAAATATTATTTGGACCATCCATGGCCTTACGCCGGTCCTCCAGAAAATCTGGAACATCCGTTCACAGCCAGAAGCTGAAGACTGCAAACAGCGTATCGATTCATGGCATTGTGGTGCTCGATTTGTGTAATTTAGCCACCAGATAGATATAGGAATCTACTTTCAAATGAAATAGATAGTTACCTGATTGGACCTGAATTTGGTCGGCAAAACCTGCGACTCCTGAGCATAATGCGTATCGATTCATGTTGGCATGGCTGGTTCTCAGCAATGCGTCCATCAAATTTTGAAATTGACCCCTAATTTGAATGGTATTGGCTTTTCATCAAAACAGATCGATAGGAATTGTAGTTGGTCAGCCGGACCGGGAAAACTAGTGAGAGTATTATGGTTTGAAGATTCCCGGAAAACCCCGTGTACGGTCAATTCTTGAAAGTCAGCCTTGATATAAGAGATTTTTTGTAATTTGCATAGCATATTGAGCATAGATGAAATATGCAATCCTCATACCGATCCTGTTACTGGATGGCACGAAAACGGATCTCCAGAATCACCGGGAAAACAGTCAATTCCTGAAAGTCGTCCTAGAAATACAGGATTTTTTTATCTTAATTGCATAGAATCTTGAGCATAGCTATAACATGCAATCCTCAGACCGATTCTGTTACTGGGTGGCCAGAAAACGTTTCTATGAATATCCCGAATCACTGCAAGTATTGTCAATTTTTAATTGTGGTAGGGTCTAATTTCCGTCCTACTAAGAGCAACCCGCGCTTTACCTCTCTTTTCTGAACGAGTTTAAACAAAAAATGGAATATTTATGTCAAAGATGACTTGCAAATTTATTCACCTTTCCATACGTTTCGTTGGATTTGATAAAGAGTCACAAATTGTTGAGATATTGTGTAAAATCTAACACTGCTTCTTGATTCTAATTTGTGGAGGCGAACCAGCCCAAGGCTGAAAGCCTCCTTAATAAAGCTAAATAATAATAATTCTTGATTCTAAATTCGTTCTACGAGTTTCAATTCCGTCCCAACGCATTGAAACGCCATTAGATTTTCTTCGTCCTACGGATAAACGTAGAAAAAGAGGATTCGCTAGGAGTGCTTCTTTTGTTTTGAGAACAATGAGCGTAAATATTCATACAATGCGGTCTAACAGGATTTATGTTGTAGCTAATGAACTAACGCATCGGAACAAACCTATTATTGATTTGTGCACGGTGAAATCATTGATATTATTGATCTTTTCTGATCGATAGAACGGAAATGGGCGATTACGACGAAGTAGCGCTCTACCCTACGAGACATATGCGGTTTTGTTGAACTGCATAAAATTTTGAGCAAAGATGTATGCAATTTCAGTACCGATTCTGCTACTTACTGTCCATATTCCTCAAACATATGTAATAATCCTGTTGGATTTTGTCTCCTTCATGGTCATACATTAGTTTGTAATTGATGGAATGCAATTAATGATAAATGGCTCAAGTTTGTTCGGGAAAAAGCTTGGGGCACGCAATAACCTTTAACTCCAACGCAGGCAACGGCTGTAATTAAATTAATTCCATTAACTACTGCTTTAATTACATTAATTACACACTGTAGAACTTTAACTACTTTTTAACTCCATTAATTACAGTCGAAATTTCGTAATTAAAGTACATTTATTACATTTTCATTAATTACGGATAGATAATTTTAATTACCGTCAGTACTACTTCAAAACGCATTAATTACTTTAAGTACTTTTGATTACATTTTAACTTCCGGTGCTTTGTATTGTGTGCCCCTCGGGAAAAAGCGATTTTCGTATGATTAAGATACATAACAACCCCCTAGTTCTATTGTACATTTCCCCATTTGCCATAGATTCTATTGTGGATACAATAAATTCTATGATTATTTTATCGTTGCGGACAGCACGATTTATTGTAAATACAATACATACTATTGCATGGTTGCAATACATTTCATTGTACCTCTATGGTTCTTTTTTGACGACACTGAAAGACAAACGTGTCCTAGGGATATCAATTATAATGAACATTCTGTGCTATTGCATTATCACACCAAGTCAGGGTAAATGTATTATAGGGTGTCCAAGAAAGTATAAAAACACTTTCAATTCGCCACCGTGTCTACCCTGTTGGAAATTTATCAGCTGTTCTTTGATGTGTGTTGTTGTTTACTTATCGCTCAACAAGATTGTGTGCGCAAAGTGATTTTACAAAATCATTCCCAGAAAAGCGCAAACAGATCATGCATAAATGGTGCACTATTCCCAATCTACCAGTAAAGAAGTTGTCGAAAATGGAGGACGCAAGTATCGAAGCAATCCGAAGCGCCCTACGGAAGTTCGGTGAAGAAGTTACCTTCGAGAACTCACCGAAATCTGGCTGTAAACCGGAACCGGCGGACCGAAAACATGACCGGAATATCTTCCCCCAAGCTCGTCAAAGTGCCTCTGTTCGAAATTTTGCAAAAAAATTGAGAACATCGAAGAGTAATGTCCAACGTGCCAAGGCTAGAAACGGGCTGAAAACGTCCAAGAAGCAGAAGAAGCCGAAACGGAGTCAGAAACAAGCCGCATCCGTCAAACCGAGGGCTGGGCAGCTGTATGATAGCCTGCTGTGTGGAAAATTGGCGTGTTATCATGAAACATACGTCAATTTTGACTACACAAGACGCTTCCGGCTCCGGGAGACCAATACTATACAGTCCGTGATAGTTAGGAAGTTGACGATGCCGATAAGTCATTTTTTACCGAAAAATTGGGTAAGAAGGCCATGCTTTGGCAAGTTGTCATTTGTGACGAAGGAAACGAAATTTCCGTTCGGGAGTGTTTGAATCGGCGTCTGCGGCCCATGATCCGGCCCAGTTCTATTTTGGCACGATTTGGTGTCAATGCACTAGTCGAAAGAAACGGTAGCTTGGTACATAGCAAACAATGTGTAATGCGTGCCAAAAGAGATGTATCCTCCGGATTGTCCAGCTAATCTAAACTTTTTGGCCCCTTTCCAAGGGATATCTACGGAAACACTTCAAGGCAGCGAATTCAATCGAAGAATTTGAAAAATACTGGACAAAAGTGGCCAAGGAATCTGTGCTGAAGCTCATGGGCAGCGTCAGAACAAAAGTTCGCTCCTTGGCATACGATTAAAGGAACTGCGGATTATTTTCGTCCAATTGGGTTCTTTAATTTTGAAAAATATATCGGTTTTTATATATTATCTGAAAGAGCTTCGTTTTTTGAGCACAGCTATATTTTTTTTCGAACCCACACACTTTCATCTCGATTTTTAAATCAAGATTTAAAGCAAAATAATAACTTCACTGTTTGACACTAAACTGACAAACTGACAGATCGCACCCATACAAAGTGACACCGAGGGGCGCTAATAAGGTGATTTTTGCAAATGTAATCGTTCTTATTTAAAATAGTTCCAGTGTACCAAAATTGATGAAATTTTGGCTTTGGGTTCCATTTCTAATGCAGATTACGAATATGCATTTACCTCAATACCCTTAAAGAACCCAATTGAAAGAGAATGCTATAGAGAACATATCTAGATAGAGCTGGAATTAGGACGTAGCAGCTTTTGTAAACAATGACTTTTCTCGATGATTTCTCGAAAGACATGACTCTCCCTGGCAAATCAACATTACCATCGAATAGGGGAAGGCTTCCCCTACCCGATGGATATGTTGGTTTGTGTAGGCGTGCCTTGAGTTGCTAGAAATCAACGAGAGAAGTGATTGTTTACAAAAGCTGTTACGCCCTAATTCCAGCTCTATCTAGATATATATAAAATAAAAATTGGAGTTTATTAACATAATGTTATTTATTCCAATGATATACTATGTTTATGCTTTCTGGGACACCCTATAGGTTAGGTGATGTGTTTATTATTTCTTCAGTAATCTGTTCTCTGTTTGAGGAACCTAAAGGATGAGGCACACAAAGGTTGCAAATGCTCATTTCGCATAATTTTTTTAATTAATGAAATCAAATGTTTTGAACCCAGAATCTAACCAAAGCTACTAATATTGATTTTTTTTTTTATATATATCTTTATTAAGGAGACTTTCAGCCCTGGGCTGGTTCGTCTCCAATATTGATTTAGGTAACTTATTCAGTCCTACTGATGTAGACAAATAATGTACAAATCACTTTGGTCCTGATCTTTAAACAATAATATTCGCAAACCTAATGGATCGAATCAAATAATCAATTACAAGTTCATAGAATATAGTGAATTTAATAAGGGAAATCCAAGTAAAGTAAAACAAATAAAGTGAATCCCATAGAGAGGGTCAGGTAATTTTGAGTGCCAGCCAGGGTATGTCCATAGGAGCTAAGCATAAACTATTAAACTCGAATGAAATTCTAAGGAATTCACAGGCCAATTAGGAATCAATTTCCCTTTCAACTATATTTTAAAATAATGTTACAAATCGCCCCATTTATAGCCATCCAAAGAAGTTTCACGGCTCCAAATTGCCCGCAATGCTGACAACACTTTGGTGGCCGAACTGACTGAACGGCTAAAGTGGATGATGTGTCGTCTCCACTCGACTCGCTGCCAGTGCTGTTGTGCTGCATCATACACATATACAACACACATTCGCATTCGCCTTTCGGTCTTATTGCTTCCCGAGTTTTTTTTTTATCGCAAAAAGGCGTATTTCTTTAGCACGGTACTTCTTCTTAATCATCCGTCATCATGGTCCGTTTCATCACCGCATGCAATTCGTCTACTATGGGCTGTCTTTCTCCGGAGCAACCGAGGAACCGTAAACTAATTCCGAGGGACATTCCGGAAGCATTACTCACCCAGCGATAGCATTCTTGTACTTGACAGTCAGGGTTTCCTCCACAATCCGGTTATTGATCTCGAGCAGAATCATTTTGGAATCTCGTTCAGCTTCTCCTCATCAAGCTATCTCTGCTGCCTGGCTGAAATATCCTCAGGGATGCGGCCGATAATAGTATAATCCGTTGTATTCAAAGAGGAGTCGGTTCAATCCTCGGGGACACTAAGGTGCCTCGGCCAGCAAAATTCGGCCTAGTATATAAAACAACAGAACCCAAAGCACTTTTCTTCACCACGGGCACACAGACACACTATCTCTTTCTCGCGCACTATCTTCCCAATTACAGGGATCTCTTCTACTTTCCGGGGGCGGCTTGTCTTGTGGAGAAAAACTACACTGCCAAAGCTGATGGCTATATTCCAAAGAATTTCTCGCCCCAATCCCGGGATGGATACGCACTCCTAGCGGAGTAAACCGACACCACTCGACGGTGCACACTGACGGACACGGAAATCCCGAAATTGGCCACAAAATTTACCCGAAACGAGCCGCGGTTGACACACTTTTTTTCCGTATAAGCGAGGCGATTGTTCTTTTTTTTATGCTTCTCCTTTCTCAGCAGCAGATAGTCGTCGTCGTCGTCGTCGTAGGCTCCATCAAGTCAGCCCCAGCCGCGGTGATGATGACTGTTCGTGCCGTTCGTGCGGTCGACGTTTTGACGGAACGAAAATGCGAATGCGGCGAGTCAGCAGCAGCGAAGAAGAAGAGGGAGAAAATCGCTCGCGTCGGCGGCCGCCGCCGCCGCCGCATCATCAGGCGAACTTTTGACGTTTGTGGATGTCGAAAAGTGGTAAAATGGCGGCGGGTTTTGAGTTCTCAAAAGCGAGGGGGCCGACGATCAGTAAATATGATTGAACGTGTTGCCCTCGTACCACACTAATCGGAAGTCGCGATCGCGAGCTGCGATGCGAAGTTATACATTTGAAATTCTGTGGAGACATGTTTTTCTGCAGACATTTCGAACAATTTCGAAAATATGAAATGTTATTTTGTAGAGATTTTTGAAGCGATAAATTAACAAGACCGACTTCAAATTGATGGCTTTTTTGAATAAAAAGCAGTCAGGTAATGATTCTTATTGCATTACAAATTAATATTAAGACTTCATATCTCAAGCTCCTTTCAAAAATGCTGATTATTGATGAGTCCATAAATATTTTATTAGGGTTTGCCTCTATGAAGTTCCTCGAGCTTCTGGAAGATCCGTCGACTTTTGCGAAGTTCTCTAGGATGTTTCCATACCACTTTACTACGAAGTCCACTGCATTTCTACAAAGTTTGCTGGTCTTCTACATTTCTTGTTGATTTTTTTTTCGAAGATCCCAGAAGGAACTTTTATAATGATCCCAGAAATTAATCAGTTCAAAGTCCATTAACTTCTACAAAATTCCCCATCTTGTACTATCTTGTACCCATTTCTTCGAAGTTTCCTGCATTTTTACAAAGTTTCCCGAATTTCTACGAAGTCACCTGAAAATATTAAACCTAAGTAACCATCTGATGTGAACTGAAACAAAGTCCCAAATGTTTTACGAAGTTCCCTGAAATTAAAAATCCCTGAGCATTAACGAATTTCATCGACTTTAATCAAAATATAAATTTTTTCTCTAAAGTTCGCAGAATTTCTGTAATGAACACTGAACTTTAACCTCGACTTTAACAACATTCTATGTTCTTCTTAGAAGTTGACTGACGTTCTACGAAGTTTTCTACTGAATATTTGCTGTAGCAGTTCTAAAAAGTTTCCTGAGCTCCCAAACTGTTCCTTGAATTTCTACGAAGTTTATCGAACTACTACAAAGTTCTTCGAAATCAAATGTCGGATTTTAAAAATATCTGTAATATTAAACACTCTCCGCTTTCGGTTGCAAATTTGAAAAGTAGCGGTGCAATCATTTAGTCCATTTAGTCGAAGGAGTGTTTACTTGGCTGTCGACAGAAGCAGGCCACTCTCGATGTGTGTTACGCGATCGTCTGTTTGCTCGGCAGCAACCATTGTGTGGTCTTCCTCATTGTTCTTTTTTTTTTGCTGTTGTCTGATGACGGCTAAGACCATGGTTGGTCCATCTTGCCGTCATTGTTCTTCATCAGCAGTTCTTTCGGTCGATGTGTCGTCGACTTTGGAAAGCAACGCTTTGCGGCCATTGCTGCAACGGAAGCGCTCTGCTCCCGTTGGCGATACTGCCATTCAATGAAACCACTGGAAGTGGCTCCCGTTCTGATGGAAGAGGCGTTTTGGATAGCGGAAGATAAAATGTTTATTGTGTTGTATACCTTTCGACTATAATAGCTTTAAGATGTTTTGTATAGTGAACAAGAATCCTCGGCTTTGTAAAGTTAATTTGGTAGAGCCTTATCAAATAAATTAATAAAGAAAAAAAATTGTTCGAGGATTACCTGTGTTTAATGACGCAGCTCACACTCGCTCGAAGTTGCTCTGACTTACCCGGGATTTTCTTTCAAGTGATCGAGTTTTATCCGGGTTTACTTTTCCCCAATTATTTGCTACCTGATCTTTGGTACTAAGAATACTGACCACAAATGGTATCTTTATTATCAGAAACAAGGTGTCAATGAATCCAGATAAAAGAATACCTCGAAAGACTACGAGCTATAGTCGCTATATTTATACATTAGAACCATTTCCCCTGTATGAAGTCCTAGTTCGGTTCTTTAACTCGATATGTCCAAGGACAGAGCTTCTGAATAATGTGATAACAAAGGGTTTCCGATAGCAAATGGTTTTATTTTGCATGACCCATACCATTTATTCATACCTACATATTAATTTACCACAGCAATTCTTATGAACATCCCGGGAACGGATCAGCCCGATTCTTTCGAAGCACAAATTGGATCTTTCTATTCATATCCTCGTTGTAGATGGCCTTGCACGTTTCAAAATTCACCCGGCGTCTGGTCTGGAACGGTTTCTCGTAGAAGCGGGTCCTCCGGAACTGGTCGAAAATTTCCTCCTTGCCCAGGATACGGTTCAGCACCCGGCAGGCTTCCTCGACGTTGTTATTCTGCACCAGCACCGTCCGGGCGATAAATTTGACGTGACGCATTTTTGCTGTTTGATGTTTTGATTGCGTAAAGCTGAAGATAGGTTTTCGGTTTACGTGATTTAGCCGGAATTACTCCACGTCCTTGCGCTAAAATTACCCAAAGTATGAAATCACTGAATGAGAAATCAATTTTGATAAGAAATACGCTAGAAAAAGCATTAAATTTAAAGAAATTCCGATAACTTACAATTCCGCGGCACATGCAGTCGTCTTTTCGAATGATACCTGACAGTTCTCAATTATGCTGCAACATGTTTGTTGATGTTCTCAAATTTTGACGGAGTTATGCTTTGTTGAATTTATGCTGATTTCTCTTGTTTACATTCGTTTAAATCGACACGGCATACCTACTCGAAGGACCGAGAGTGACGATAAAGATCGCTATAGATTTCCAAGATTACGGGAAAAGTACTAAAGTTCCACAGAGAGAAAACAATGTCGAATCAATTTCATAAAGATTTGATTCATCAGTATAAAACTACTTGCAACAAACTGAAGAAAATTCAACGAGTATTTTTCAAGTAAAATCCAAATTTCACCTCAATAAGAAATAGTTTTAAACAAGGCTTATTTACCGTAGACAGTTTGCTCCCAACGTTTCGGAAGTAGCAGGTGAGTTCGGTTCCTTGGCCACCAGCTTCAATAATGCATTCCAACCGGAATATGCAGCGCTCTGCCATATGGGCCAAGGGAAATGCGAAAAAATGATCGGGAATGATGCAGCCGAAGTGGATGCCTTGTTAAAGGCGGCCCGTTCCTTCCGGAAGGCCCATGACCAGCAGACCAAAATTAAAGTTGAAAACCCTTCCAGCGACCACTTGGAAGGAGCTTTTCGGTGCTACACCCAAGCACTATCTAGACTGCCGGATGATTCCGTAACCAAAGCTGCAATCATCCGTGAACTGAAGGAGATCAATCCGAATGTGGAAATTATCAGTAACTTTAGCTCTCCTAGCCATCGCATTTGGGACCTGGAGCATTCGGCCGAGGAGAGCATCAAGTCTCGTGACTATGTGGCAGCATTCGAGAAACTAACCGAGATTTACGACGACATCACCGAAAGACGGTGCGAAGATCTCTATCTGCAGGTGATGCAACGAGTGGAAGTATCCCGATTGCTATTGCTGTGCTTGCTGCAGCTTCCTCCTTCGGTTCGGTATGATCACAAATTCATTGAACGTTATTCGTCTATCGGGGAGAACAATCTGGGCACTGCTAGCCGCCAGGGGAATGAAATCATTTCGGAGAACCTGTTTTTCCTGCTACAGTCTCTAGTAGTTTCCTGCCAGGCTAAGGACATTGACTCGCTTGTAGCTGTGCGAGATGAAATGAGCCACTGCCATGAGCTCACCGGATCGCAACAAGTTCTACTGGAAGAGCTTGTTTCGAAATATTCCAAATGATATTAGATCAAAACAGTTGCGATTGTAATATATGTGATTATACTAAGCTGGTACAGTTTAGAACATAATTTTAGCTAATCTACCTACGAGTTGATGTTTGTATGTTTATAACGTTTATTAAGAATATCGTAGTTGATTAATAACAGCAATATAATAGTATTTTTAACCATGCAAAAAAAAATGTTGCTTCGCTAATAAACGTACATTGAAATTTGATTTTTTTTTTTAATTTGAGAGTATTAGAAACAGAAAGGCCCGTTTTAAAAAGGACAGTAAGAAAATTAATATAAGCAATATTCCCAAAATTTATGTAGCGATCTTTCGTTCGCGACCAGGGTTCGCAATCACGATCACCGCCGAAAAGTATAGTGACAGTAGCACGTAGCGCGTGCGTGTGTGTGAAGTGTGCGTAGTGAATAGTCGTAACACCCAGAGACAAGGATTATCTTATGGGTGTTGGTGAGTGGGAATTTTTCAACTGACATTTTCCAATTGGCAAATCAAAGTTGACTGAAACCTCACTCGAAAAAGGTGATGGAAATTGAATATAAAATTAAAACTTAAATTTAAACTGATATCAAATTGAGCCACTCCAAATAATAATAGAGCACATTCGTAAACGATGTTAATGCTTAACTTTTATCGAGAAAAATACACAACTGCCATCCAATAAGAAATATGTTGGACAAAGAATAATCGTTAACAAAACCAAGTATAGAACAAAATAGGAAAGCTTTAAAATCCATAGTCGACGCAAATGTGCCCAAGGTAGATGATTACAGGTGAGCTGAAACTCACGGATTTAGTTTGTTAACTAAAATGAACTATTGACCAATGCACGGAATGAACTGCATGAACAAATTTGTCGTTTGAGCGGTGCCGTGTTTACTAAAAATGAACACATGAATAATACTCGCGTAACATTTTAAAATGGCCTATCAACTTATGTACACACAACTTGTTAGGCATTTTTCCCGCGAACCGAAGTACGCCCATGCAAACCAACAACACCATCGGGTAGGGTAAATTCTCCCCTTCCCGATAGTGGTCTGGTTTGCGTGAGTGTTCTTCGGTTCGCGAGAAAAGAGCCTAACAAGTTGTTTATAAAAGTTGATAGGACCTTTTCTAAAGTTACGCGAGCATTGCATCATGTGTTCATTTTTAGTAAACACGGCACCGCTTAAAAGTCAAATTTTTTCGTGAGTTCATTCCGTGCATTGGTCAATGACCATTGTGTATGGCAAATTGTGCTATAAGAAATGCTTATAGCAAAATAATGAACATATCATGAGCATTAACTGAAAATAACTCACCATCACTAGCGGACCGTGAGTACTGTTTCACCCCATCCGAGCTCGCATCTTGATCCCATTCTTTAATTTTCATTTTTTTCAAGGGGGACGAAAGTAATACGCTTTACATATCATGTAACGGATTTCTCTTAAATTTCTACAAAATTACGATTTTTTTAAAGATTAATTTGAGGTCGTAATGAATAATAACAAGCACCTATCGATATTATCCGATTTCATACACTACTGATCGATTATCTTGGATGTGGTAGATTTATCGAGCATTATGCTGATGTTGTTTTTAATGTGTTTTGTGATGTGAACTGTCACTTTCTTGAGCACCTGCTTTTGTGATAGTTGCATGTTCAAACTCTGGAAGCAACGTTATTTTCCCGGAGATTTGGCAACAGAATTGATGGCCAAACGTGACCAAACCCAAGACCAAACGATAGGTGCCATCGGTACTGATATTCACCGGATGCCTGAGATTGGGGAAGTCTGTTGAGGTAGTGATGACCTTGGAGATACCCGAGAATTCCCAGTCGTGACATATGCGTTTCCGCACTTCCTACAATGTGTGTAATGCGAGGTGTAATGCTCTAGACTATCACCTCAAAATTTCAAGAGCACAGCTGCCACAACATATATACAACAATTAAACTGGAACTTCACATTTGATGCAGCAAACAGGGAGTTCCAATTTCATTAGTGATGTCACAACTGTGTCCGAAATTTGTGCTCTAGAACACTTAAACTGATAGGGTATCTCAGCCATCATCAGGGAAATTGTGGACTCTTCAAAGAATCACCATAAATGATTTTTGAACAGATTTATCAACCAACAATACTAAAGGGTGTAATGACCTTATAATGCAAACTGAAGCACGCCTACCCTAATAAAAAATAACCATAAACGAACGATAACCCAAATCATTGAACTATTCCATAAATGGTTTGGATGATACCCAGAACACGTCGTTAAGCAAATTAACCATACAATTTTTATTAGGGTACGCAAACCAATTCCACGAACGGATAGGAGAGAATTTTCCCTAGCCGACGGTGTTGTTGATTGGGCAAGGCGAGCTTCGATTTACGAGAAAAGAGCATTACAAGATTTGATTTCAAAAGCTGATCCGCCTTTTTGAATTGTTCGTTAAGATTTCATGACGTTCTTTTCTTATAAACAAACGGCTGTCATCGTTACCTGTCATGATACTTATAGAGATGTGACCCGATATAAGAGATGTGACCGATTAAAATAGATATTATTTCTTTTTAGAGATTTAAGCACGATTATATCGGATGAATCCGATAAAATTGATTTCTCCGACTATAAATCAACTTGAATAATCTGGGACTTTTTTCGGTTTTTTTACATCATCTGATAGAGCTTCGTTTTCTGAGTACAACGATATTTGTTTTGAACCCATCGACTTTCGTTAAGAGTTTAAAATCAAGATTTAACGAAAAACTTCTCTGTTTGACACTAAACTAACAAATTGACAGCTCGCTCCCATACAAAATCCCACTGAGGGGCTCTACGATGGTATTTTTTCCATTGTCCAACTAACAATTTTTAGCTGCAGATTAGCATGCAGGTGAAAATCGGCTTATACGGCTAATTTTTGTCTGTATAAGCTAATCTGCTGCTAAAACTGTTTGTTGGGGTAATCCGAGGGGGACGACACCGAGGACGACACATCTTAATCTCAATTCCAGATGCTCAAAAAATCTCACACTAGCGAATAATGTTCGAAAAATCTTCTTTCATTCCTCGCATCTACTTGCACCGCACATCATCTTTTTGCAGGAAACCTTTAAAATCGGGATAAATCTTCTTTCTATTAACTCAGCGTACGCGCAGCTAGCCACAGCAAAACACAATATTTCCTGCATCGTAGATAGAGTCGTCCCCCTCGGGGTAATCGCATTTATTCAAAATAGTTCCAGTGTACCAAAATTGATGAAATTTAGAATTCCGGTTCCATTTGAAATGCAGATTACGAATATGCAATTACCTCAATACCCCCTAAGTCGTAATCTTCATCTGCTCTTTCATCCTCCATTTTTATCATTTTTACTCGAACTCAGACTCACACTAGGATTGGGCGGTATTGGAAAGATCTTTGGAAGATCCAGGGGGTCAAAAATACATGAAAATTGCGAGGCTGTAATTGTTTGTAAAATACCCATCCTGGCAACCCAGTATTTCTGACACCTTGAATGTTTTGGTTTCAAATCACAAGGATAAATCGGATTGAAGATGACGCGGAAAGTGGCAGGTGTGTGAAATTTCGGAGTTTTGTGCTTTCGGAGCCCGGTGGCAGGCTCGTAAGCAACATTGTATACAGTGACAGCGGGCAAAGTACAGCAAAACAAACGATTTGGGCCCTGGACATGCTGCCTACTGTCAAACATAGCTGTTAGTATAGGCCTTGTCACCGGCCTGTGGTTATAATGGCAGACCAGAAACCTATAGTTTTTCGTGATGTGAAATGCATCGGTCTATCAGCGGCCGGAAAGAGTTGGAACCGGTGGGGATCATTGTTGGAGACCTCGTTGGAGACCGACTATAGAGGATGATGAATAGACTAATTTAGTTTGTTTTGTGTGGTTTTCAGTATTATTTAAATGAAGGGTACTAACATATAATAGAGGTACACTCTAAGACTAGAAGGTCCCGAAATAACGTGCTCAACTTTTTGACTCAGCTCTGGTACTCTCTTCGGTCCCAAGCTAATCGATTCACACCTCGAAACATATGAAAAACCAATAACCCCTCATTTTATCTGTCAAACTTTCATAGTGAATCAAAACAAACATAGTGTAGTACTAGCATTTCGACTAGAATGCGATACGTTAATCGTTTACTTGGGACCAATAGGCTAGTCAAGCAGTGAGCCAATTTAAACTCGTTAGTTTCGAATTGATTGTTGGTACTAATGAGGTCTGCTTCGAGGTCTGCTTAACTGCCTCTTTCTCTTAAGCCCAGTCTAGAACCTACATATCGTATTTAGATCTATAAGTAAACTGCTGGTCTGCGCCCTAATAAAAAATTATCATACACGAACGGTAACCCAAATGACTGAACTATTCCACAAATGGTTTGGATGATACCACGAACACGTCGTTAAGCAAATTAACCATAACATTTTTATTAGGGCGCTCGGGTCTGAGTTTCTTTAGTATACTCAATTAGAGGATGTTCCTGAATATACAGTCAACCAGCATGTAATGTTGTGAACAACTTCAATGACAGTTGTCCATTAGTGTTCCCATTTTATTTTCAACAATCCAATGCTTACGAGATTGTGCCGGTGGGTGTGCCCAATTTGTGCCGAATATAATTTTGGCACAATGTGCTGAGTGACTTACCCCTTGGTGACAGCTCTGATTCATCATAAACATACCAAATCGATAAGATAGAAAACTCCGAAATTATTTCAGTTTAGAATCTGAATTGCATTGGTGTGGCAGTATTGGCAGGATAAGGAATTTTTGGAATTTAATTCAAAACATAAATATTTAAACCACAGACAAACAGACATAACACTCGCAAGATGTTCATCGAACAAGCATTTAACGGTCAATTTAAAAGTATCGTAGTTGGTAGTACCGCCACCTGTGGCGTGCATAGTCAATTCCCTTGCGTTTGACGTTTACACACTACCGCCATCTGTTCAGCGTACTACCCACCACAGTGTACTCAACAGATGGCGGTAATGTTTGAGCGCCGATGTTTTACATTGAGAAATATTCAATGTGTTATGTCTGTTTGTCTGTGTTTAAACTGTCATAACTTTTTTTTAGATTCTGGCACCGTACTTCCTTCATCAAAGTTGTTAGGAACTTCCTGGACAATACTTTTGTACGGTAAGTTGTATGGTTCAAGCAAAATTGTGGTCTCTAAGGATGAACATACTAATTTCAAAGGCAATGCAGAAAGCCGGGTTGCAGCCAGGGTTGCAATCAATCGTCCATAAATTTTGCACAGTTCTTTGGGACCCCGAATGGAACAAAAAATGAGTTGTTCTCACTTGGTGAAGTCTAGTTTGCGTTTTTCTATGTTACGGTAATACATGGTACGTGGGCTTTGATAGAATAATAGCATAGAAGTAACTCTAAAGGGCCACGCACATTAGATCCGTTTGCGTTTAAGTAAATTTGACATGTCTAACTGTAGATTTAGCTGTCAGTTTGCTGCAACGCGTCCGATCCGGATCTAATGTGCGTGGGCCTTAAGCTAGGCTTAAGACTAGAAGGTCCCGAAGAAACGTGCTCAACTTTTTGGCTCTCTTCGGTCCCAAGCTAATCGATGTACCCCTCGAAACATAGGAAAATCCACGAACCCCTCATTTTATCTGTCAAACTTTCATAACGAATCAAAACATACATAGTATAGTACTAGAATTTCAACTAGAATGGGGTACGTTAATCGATTTGCTTGGGACCAATACACACTTAATCTAGCTCGGTAAAATCTCCAACAGCCGATTACTTCGGCATTCACTTTTGCTGATATCTCTGCAAAATATCTGTTTGTTAGCTGATATCTCAGCAACATTTTATTTGTTAGCTGAGTCTCGGCAATTGTTTGACTGAATCTCAGCAAAATAAATTGCAGAATTACTCGGCTGTTGGAATCTCGGCGAAAAAAATTAAGTGTGTAGGCTACACACAGAGAAATGATTTTTAAATTCAAATGGATATATTTTTGGCTCAGGGCCTAATATATTTTTGGTATTGATTCAAATATATTATTCGGTTAATCCAAAGAAAAATATTTTTGAATCAACAAACCGGTTGTAGAGTCAATAATCTGTTTGTTGATTCTAAAAACCATTTTGTTGATTCAAAAATATGTTTCGTTGAAATAGTGATACAATATGTTTGAATCAATAACAAAATACATTAGGCCCTGAAACAAAAATCCATTTTTCTGCGTGTAGTCAAGAAGTGAGCCAATTTAAAATCGTTAGTTTCCACCGGTTAATAATTTGCCTGACAGAATGTGATAATATTGATGTTGTTACTCACAGCCGTTATGTAACTGCCTCCTGTCAACGTTCATTCATGAGTAACTCAACTGTTGATAAATTACTATGCGGGAGCACATTGTTCGTTGTGATTAAAATTAGTCACGGATGCAACATAGTCAGTGGTATATTCCGTTAATTTTTCAACATGGACTTCCCTACACGTTCCTAGTCGCCTGCCTTTAAGTCATCGCCGCATATTTCCTGTTGGCATCTCGCGCACATTTTGTAAACAGAAAACATAAACCCGGCTACATTCGCATTCCGTACAGTCTATGTCACGCATACTACAGTGTTTACTCTTAAGTCCAGTTAGATGGTACTATTCAGCGTTCAACTCACTTGAGCTGTGAAATAAGCATCTAGAAAGCCAGTCGATGTCGGAGTTGATCTGTTCTATGTAAAGTCAATTCGACGTCGACTACCAGAGCGGCGGTGAGTTGAATCAACTCACTATTATTACTCGACTGAGAATTCCAATAGGGCTACTCTACATACATAACGTCCCATTGGAGTGACCACCGATTAGTGTGGATTTTGTATAGTTTTCTAAAAGTAGTGATTATGGTTTGAAGTTTAAAGTTAGAGTTGTGATTAGCTTTTAACGAATAAGTCGTTTGGAAGACTTTTCGTAGACTATTCAACGAAGGCTGAAACTCGTGTTTGGTAAGATTCTGCTGAAGTGGAAAACACACACATGTGTACCCATTCAATTTCTCTTACATAAAATTAAGTGTAGTTGTGCCGAACTGGATCCATGTACCTATACTGTCGTGCGGTGTCTGGCGTTTGGCGGTTTTTATCCTGCTTTTTCATTCATTCAAAGTTGTACCTGCAGGAAGGATCACCGCACTGAATTCCAGAAACACGAACAAAGCATCTTCTAAGGTAGAAATTTGAGACTATTTGTACCTGATCGAGAATACTTATTAGTGTTCTTGACGAGCAGTGTCCAGTTAGTTCCCATGCAGTTTGATACGTGAGCCTTTGATTGGTTCGAGAGATTCTATTGGATTCCGAAGGATCGTGTAAGTGGGCAGAAGTGTGGAGAAGGGGCGAGGAATCCCATTGCCTGAGAATCAGTCAGAGAAACAGCTGGTACATTCCAGTATGGCAACGGTACAGACGGCCAAGGTGGCATTGCAGTACGGTCAACGTTTCCTGCCAGCCGATGGTTCTGCGGGAGTAATTACAGTGGCCCCAGTTCAAGCCGATGATCAATTTACTAAAGTCACCCACCAACACCAGCAGCAACAGTATACGCCAATGTCTGTTTCGAAAGATCCTATAATTTTAAACCATGTGCTAACTAACACCGGATCAACTGCGGTGAGTCCTACTTTGTCCACTGTGGTGACACACATGCAACAGCCACAGCAGCCAGTTCATGAACAGGTACATCAAATGCAACCACCGCCGATCAAGATGTGGCTTCTGGTGGAATGGGAGGCACCGGCTGGGGAGCCGAACACCTACTCTGTGATCGACTCTTCTGATCTGATACTCCATAGTCAATCTGGAAACTCCCGAGAGACGATCCACACCGGAAAGACGATATTTGTGAGACGAGGCAAGAGGGTGCAACAGGCGACGGTGGTTATCATATCCGGTAAGTTGTGGATATTATTGGAGGTTTGGTTGTGTAACTTATATGAAATTTGTGCTTAGACGATAAACAATTCATCGATACCGAGGCTAGGCAATTGCGCAAGATGGCATCCGACAATCATTATCGAAAAATAATCACTTCCCAGGAGCAGCAATACAATGCAACTACAAATCAAGAGGTAGGCTACAAAATTCCGCTCTATAACCGATATGGTTTTTATATCATCAATTACATTGCAGCAACAGCCGAAACGTCGTCGTGTTGAATCTGCCGTGACGGATTCGGAAGAACTGGAACCAGCCAGTCCCGAGTTTGAACCCATGCCGATACAGTCGCAGATAGCTACCGCCAATTGGGTGAACAACTGCAAAACGGAGCGGATAATCTCCCCGTCGCCCTCCGTGGTTTCTGTGCAGGTTACCAACCCCGGATCGTTTGCTAAACCCCCGCCGATGACGTTCGACCAACAAACGCAAACCGACACCAGGTTCTTCCCTCAGGATGGCAACCGTTCGAGCCCACCGGAATTTACTAAGATCCTGTCCCTGCTGGAAACAATCCTTGCGGAACAGAAAACTATCCGGATGGAGACCGAATACAATAGGAAACTGACGTACGACATGATGGAACAGCAGAGTAAATTTTCGGAAACCCTGAAACAGATGGTGGCCAAAGTGGATTCCGTTCACAAGTACGAAATTACCGAAGTCGTAAAAAACCCGGAAGAAAATGTTTCCAGCTACGTCGTACTCGGTACGGGTGGTGACGAAAGTCGAGATAGGGTATCGAGTGTGGCCGAATCCGTAGCTCAGAAACCAACCATTTCCAACGATAGTACCCACCTGATAATGGACCACATAAGTGTTCAAGACGAGAGTAACATGTCGTTCAGTCAGAGTAAATTCACAATCCACGAGGAAAGTTCAGTCAATTCAGTAACATCCACACCAAAGAATCTCAATTTTACCAACAAACTGTCCTCCTCGGCCCTGAGTCTCAGCAATGTCAGCATTCAGTCCCACGTGAGTACCCCATCCATCATCAATAAAGGGGCAGCCATAAACGAAATGCTGAAAGAGTGGATCGATGAAGAAGATGGCGACGATACGGAAGTGACCTCAATCGGACCCAACAATACCCTGGTGAAGAAGCAAGTTCTACGTGCAATCAATTGGACCAACTACAAAGCCGCTACCCGGAAACTGCTCATGACCCTGTTCTCGCGAGAAGTACTAGCATCGCACACCCTTACCGGTCGGCCGTCACCTGCTTTCATGGGAGATCGTGCCAAACCGGTCAAAGACAAGTTGGACCAGAAGATCATTGCCGACATCATTGCCATCGTGTCGAAAACCTGCAACGTGTCGGAACCGATGGTCCGGACGGCCATTACAACCAAATGTGCCGACGAGAACAAGATGAGCCGGATGAAGCACAACAAGGGAGGAACTCAAACGACGATGCCGCAGTTCGTGCAGGATACCGATTCGGGTTGTGTTGATGCAGGAGCTGGTGGTGGCAGCGGTGACCATGGGGAACAAACCCAGACGACTTCACCGTACCCTCGAAGAATCAAGCGGGAAAATAAGGAAAATGTGCATTGATTGGGAGGGGGAGGAGTAGATACTGTTGCCAAAATGATTATTTTTCAAAAGTTTTTTTTTTTATTCATTTGCCATTGTTGAGGCTGCCATCATTTTTGTACCAATTTTATGTGTTTCCATCCGTGACAATGTTTTTTTATGTGTTGATTTTACTGAACAAAGGCAGGTATTTCTGTTAAGCTGAGGGAAAAAAAGACAAATAGCACCTTTTAAGCGCCGATGTACAAAATTTATGTTTTAGTAAACGACAATAGCGATAAGTTAATATGTTTAAAAAATGAAAACATTTTATATAATCTATTATATGAAAACTATAGCTTTATGGAATAAATTGCACGATTTTTTTTTCGAAGAAAAGAAATATAGGTAACGTAGGGGAAATGGCTCTAATGTTGGCCTATGGATCTTAGATTGGGCCCATAGCTAAAAGTCTGCTATTTATCAATTTTATCTAGATGAACGCGTCATTGGGACGGTACTTATCGATATTTTTGGTCGCTATTGAAAATTTAGTAGATTGTTCAATCTATGTATGGGCCCAAATTAGGGGCAGTTAGGTCGACATTACATCCATTTCCCCTATTACATATTTTTTTAAAAGCTAATTTGCGGAATGCCAAACGAAGGAAGCCGTTTTTAAATGTACTTACGGTACTTACACAGCACGAAGTAAGTTGTGCCGACGAACGGTCGAGTTTATTTTTGCTGTCAATATTTTGTCTCGTGATTCCCCGTTCTGATGTGCTTTTAATGAAGAAAATCCCCAGTTTAGTTTTCGAGGCGTGGATTTTAGCCTGAAATGTTAGTTTCTGTGGACCGTTCTGCTATAGTGAACTACTGCAATCGAGTTGTATATTCTGCGTACCATCCAGGTCTTTACGGCACCAACCGTTATGGATCAGGTAATGCCGGGACTATTCCAAGACCTCTTCCATATCGACAACCTCATCTGTGGAAAATAAGACGTTGCGGACAATTTCGCCCTGAGAACCCTTTCACATCGGAAAGCAGCCGACCAACGGAAACATCAAGCAAGTCTTTTTCATGTTCTACTCGTTTGATGACGGTACCGGAAATGGAAAGTATTGGTTAGCGAAAAGTTTCCAGTTTATCAACGATTTCTCGCTATTTGAATTCCATGCGAAGTTTACGGACAAGTTGCATCCAGCAGTCAACTAAATTAGTTAGTTCGTTCCAGTTTAATCTTAGCGTACGTAGGTAGGGTAGGTTTTTCAAACAAATGCTTGAGTCTTGCTGGGAAAAGATATTAAGATCTAAACCAGGCCGTTATTGTAGAAAATCGTGACGATGGGACGCTGTCGAGCTGTTGAATAGCAACTATCGTGGTAACTCACCGATTACCTGTCGATCTGCCAAATTTGCAAAGACGTCTGCATTGAATTGTCTCATATAATAATATTCCGCCCACTATATCACAAGAAATTGCGAGTAGCTGAGTGGAATGGAGATAAGTTAAGCATTGGGTACAGGACCAAGTCTCCCCTGGGTGGTGTCAGAAGATGAGCGCAATAGAATCATCAAGTTGCCATAAGGCACGGAATGAGACTATTGCATGGCTGGGTAGTCGAAGTCTTCCATTCGTTAGTCATTTCAGGTGGATTAGAACAGGCTTAGGTTGTAGTAGGCATAGATTTAAGAATGTAATGATAGTAGGCCAAGTCAGGATACTGATAATAAAACGTCATTGATATTCAACTACTCATCGGAGCAAGACGTTTTATTTGGAGCTGCTACATTGGTGACGAGTGGTGAAACGTTACCCGTACGTGTTTAAAGACAATTTGAAGTTCATCAAATAAGACGAGGGCGAAGGTTAGAGCAGCAAGGCATCACAAGTCGATTGGACGGAAATTTTCTTCAAGTTGTGGAAATTGTTTGAAACGTCAACATGTCCATGGTAACGAATATTTTTTTTCTTAGTAACAGTTGTTTGAGTTCCACTAGTATAACTTGTACATTCATTTTGGAAAATGTGAAGTTTTAAATCTTTCAATGTTGAAAATTGAACCTAAATGAAGGGAATTATGGAAAAATATCCAGGCCATTTAGGTAGATAAATGTAGGGAATAATAATTCCAGGCCATTTGTCTGAAAGTCTACTGAGGTGAGGCAATTGAAGTGTCTCTAAATGAAGGGAATACAAGTTCCAGGCCATTTAGAGAGTCAAATGAAGGGAACAAAGATTCCAGGCCATTTGACTGATCCCATATAAGGGAAAAGCGAAGGGAACTTCGGGTTCCAGTCCACTATGTAAATTTATTTTAAAATTAAATTATAATTCTTATATTAATTAAAAATAGATAAAGCTAGTGAAAAGTCAATCAATGAAATCGTGTGTGGTTTAATGCGAACAAATATTCAGAAAATTTTAATTACAGCTGAATTTCAATATACTGCCATTCCACGAGTCTGGCGACGGTCCTACATCTGTGCGATGGGAAGAATGGAAAGGACAATTTTTATCATACCTTGCGCTAAAAGGTGTTAATGACCACGATGAGCTATACAATGCGTTGATGTGTTTCGGTGGACCGGACGTTCGGAAAATTGCGAAAAATCTGGAGGTATCTGGAAGCATTTTGGACAATCGTTACCGGGCGGCAATGGAGATATTGGATAATTATTTCTCACCTCGGATGTCACTCCGATACGAGAGATACAAGTTGCGTCAGCTCAAGTTTAATCCCAAGGAAAAATTGGATAAATTTGTTCCACGCCTCAAAACTCAAGCAACAGCATGTAACTTCGAAGATCAAGTCAATGAAATGATAATGGATCAAATAGTGTATGCAACCGAAAACGATGATAAACTAAGGGCCAAATATTTAGAAGCTGATGTTACTCTTGAAGAAATGTTGAAAATTGGGCGACCTCATGAATCAGTTTCCGCACAAGTGCAAGAATTTCGTTCAAGGTCCTGTCAGCTTTCGGATTTAAACGATTTGAATGCGGTTTCTAAATCAAGCAACACTTCAATGGACAACAAAGGTACGTGTACCCGGTGTTTGGGAACTCATATTTCTGGTGACCAGCAATGCCCTGCTCGGGTCTCTCGATGCAACAATTGTGGGAAAGTTGGTCATTTTGCACGTTGCTGTTGGAAGCCGCGTAAAAATTTTCATCCGTATGGCCAACGAGAAAATCGGAAAGGTGATGTTAAGAATCTCGAATCACCAACAAATCGTTTTCAGGGTAAAAATTCGAACAGAAAGCACAAATTCGTAAGAGAAGTGGATAATGTTACTAACACAGTAGAGATTCGCGAATTGTTTCATCTGGACGGTAAACGCACAGTGATAGCTGCAGTTGGTGGTGTAAATTTTCGGTTTGTGGTAGATACTGGTGCTGATGAAGACGTCCTTAGTACAATGGATTGGAAGACTCTGAAGAAGGTGGGATTTAAGGCATTCGACGTACGAAAGGGCAGCAGTAAAATTTTTCGAGGATATGGATCCAACCGTCCGTTGACAGTGCTTGGAGAAATCGATGTGGAAATCATCATTGGAGACCGGACCTGCAAAACAACGTTCTTTGTAATCGAAAATGGGAAGTGTTCCTTGCTGTCTGGAAATTCAGCAGAAAAATTAGGAGTGGTGAAGTTTCTTAATGTTACAAGCAGCAGTGCCATGCCCTGTATCAAAGACATGACAGTATCTGTGAAAATCGATAAATCAGTCCCTCCGGTTCGGCAAGCTTTCCGGCGCATACCAATTCCCCTAGAAAAATTAACGCTTCTAAAGTTAAAGGAATTAGAGGAACAGGATATAATTGAGAGAGTTAATGAAGCATCGGAATGGGTTTCTCCAATGCTCATTAAAAGGAAAAGTGCTAATGAGGTGGAGGAAGAAGCAACAGTAGAACCGGTGGAAATTCGAAGAAAAAGACAGAAACGCAAACCTGAATATTTAAATGATTATGAAGTTTATAAGATTATTAAACAATTCGGATATTCGGATTTGAAAGATCGTCGGTTACAGTGGCCTGATTACTGAGCAGAAAAACGCGGTCCCAGGTCCTTAAATACCAAAGAGATTTATGGTAAAATCGCTTGTGTATTGTGTATTTTGCGAAACTCGTTGTTGTCGTTGGTTCCGGGTTTGAATGGATACAAAAATTTGAGCAACGGTATTATGTGATATGAGGGGCTCGGTGGCCTTAGAGCAACCGTATTTGCTTACTGAGCAGAACATCATGAGTCTAATCTCAGGCCCATCCACATTCAAGATTCGTCAATCGTTTTATTTGTTAATGTGACTACATGGTAATAACAGCAACTCGGTGATTAAAAAGGTGCTCGTCTGCCTAGTGGCAAACGTTTTTGCTTACTGAGCAGAAGACCGTGGGTTTAGTCCCAAGCTCCTTCGCGTTATATGATCGTTAGGACATCAATTCTGCTTATCGTTTACCAAAACGAACCCTGCTGCAACCCAACCCTCTTACCCAACATCCCAGTGATTCCTCGTGGAAGTGCATAGGTGTTCTCGGCTTCCATCAACGCGAGTGTCATGTCAACACAATCCTTCCCATTCCTTTCTTAACCTGTGTTCGGGCGCGGCCGGCGCTGGTATTGCCTAATTTAAGATCACCAGTTTTTACACATTGAGGATGATTGCTAGTCCCAAGCATCGTCTATTGGTTCTCTGTGTAATTACAGCTGATCTGGTAATAGCAGAGTAGCAACCGTGGGCGGTCAATCAAGCTCAAGCTCAAGCTCAAGGAAAATACGGTTCGAACGAAAACCAAAATATGGATGAATATCTGACGTACGCTAGATGCGGGTTGGAAAACTTTGTTAACTGTTTTAGGGACGTTATTTCGAGCGTTATTTCGTTTGTTTAACTCTCGGTTTAACTCCTTTCATGCGGACTTGAAAGATCGTCGGTCGTAGCTTGTTTTGATGCCAACACGGAGAACAAATTATAGCAGACGCAATTATTTTTCCGGTCAAAATAACTATATTGTTCAATTGTTTTAGAGATAACTCGAAACTATAGTTGATTTGACTATATATAGCAGCATAGTTCATAGCTGGCTCCTCGGTTGGCTCAACTATATTTTTCAGTAGATGAACAAACGTTAAACTTCAAAATACAACTATGCTTTAGTTGATTCAAGGAAACTATTGTTAGGGAAGCAAAATTTAACAATGTTTATTAAACGAACTACTCTTCATTATCGACATATTAAGGAAGTTTGTTTTGCTTCTTTATCGATCTCAAAAACACAACTGCAAAATCATAAAAAAAGTGAACAAGAACATTCAACTTAGATTTGAACCGTGT